GGAAGGAGGTAGGAAATTACAGCAGAAGATTGATGGGTTTCCCCCACAGTCCCCTGGCAAAAAAATGGGAGGGAAAAACCCACCTGTATCTGGGGCACAGAAGCCATTCAGGAGGCCCTTGGAGATGCTATAGCAGTTCTCCTTGCCTCCTGTTTCTATATCCCTCTTCCAAGTGAGCCTGGCCTCATCAGCTCTTCCGCATGGTCTCAGCCATCTGTTCTATTCCCGCTGCCACTTCCTGCAGGTGGTGAAGGACAAGAGGGATTATTATGCCAACCTGCATGCTGCTTTCTATCGGGAGGAAGATGCCTGCAGAACCCTCCTGGAAAACAAAGATGCCATAGACTGGGACAAAGCCTTCCAGCTGCAAGGCAAGGCCTGGGCTCTGGCAATTTCTTTTCCACCCTTAGGAGATTTTGGAAAGTGCCAAAAACCTGGTTGTCCCCCCAACTCTTGGGAAAGGGTAATTGTGGATCCTAGTTTAGGTTAGCTTAGTTTTGTTGAGTGTAAGGTGGAGTGTTTTTCAGGTGTTCTTTTCTTTATTTATTTGTAAACCATCCAGATTTGTGAAGAAATTGGGCAGTCTCAACATTGGCTTAAATAAATAAATAAATGTCTCCAAACACACACACACACACACACATATATATATTCTTGTGTCACTTCCATTCTATGTAGGTCTCCAAGATGGGCTCTATCAGGCTGTGAAAGTCATGGCAGAGGCTAGAAGTGTCCACATGGAGCCCCATTTCTACCAGGCAGTGCTGCACCCAGATGCAGCCACACTATGTCAGAATGAGTGAGTGATGGTACTCTCTTTTTAAGAGAACTGTTTTGGCGATCTATTAATTTGATTCCATATAATTATCTGGAATTCAGTAATGAGCCTCTAGTTCTTCTACAACTAACTCTATCCTCTGTAGAAAACCAGGAATATGTTGTTTCTCCTAGTTGTAAAAATGAGACAGGTTTACAGATAAGGTCCCTGTTTTGTTGCTAACTTGTAAGATGTGGGATGAACAACATTAACAGAGAGTTGAAAGAATTCCCTGAACGTAACTGCTTCATTGGCTTCCCCTGCCCCCGAAAAAGTGGCTTTGGGAATATTAAGGAGATTTAAAAAAAAACACAAAAAAAATATCCTAAAGTTGATTTCAGCAGTTTCAAAGGGGTGTTAAGGAGATATTTCAGACTATCCGGGATTTGTATTTTTCCACGATTGGGTAACTCTGAGATCATGGTTTCCCTTGATGGTTTTCCCTACCGGGCTTTTAGCTTTGCTAGGTGTGAGCAAAGCTTATTTTTCAAACATGGTGGGATACTCTCCTTTTGTTCCACCATCACTACCATCTGCTCTTTCCTTTCAGGCTCAGAAGTGACCCCTTCCACTTGGGGACGCTCAACCCATCTCATGCAGCCCTACTCAATGATACCTATGAATTTGGAGGCAATGATCGGAGCTTGCACTACCTTAGGAGCCTGATTGAGGACTTCCCAAATGCTTGCCTCCTAGATCATAAAGGGAAGCTGGTTGCCTGGAGCTTAAGTGATGCCCTTGGTTGTCTGACCCATGGCTACGCTCTTTCTGAATACCGGGGAAAGGGTCATATGAAAACAGTGATGCAGGCACTAGCCAGAAAGTTGCATGCTAAAGATTTTGCCTTGTATGCTAGAGTTCTGGCAGAGAACAAAATCTCCAAGCAATTTTTAAGCGGCCAGGGTTTTCATCTCTTGCCTTGGACAAAGTATATTCTTTTTTTAATTCCAAATCACATGAAATAGCAAGGGGCAGCATCCAGGTTTCATTAGATGGGGAGGTTGGAAGTTACATTTACAGAGATGTAAGGGACTGTGTTAGGATATACTGAAGTTTAAGTCGGAAAAGGGTCACAAAAATCAGGAATCGCTATGAATGAATAACTACATTCTAAAATAAAATTCTTGCAGCCTTGAAATGGTGCATAGCCCATCGATATCCCTCGGCATTAATTTTACACCATATTTGGATCTAGCACTTTGGCCCTAAACCACTTTTTTATTTTAAAGAGAGCTCTTCCACCCCACCACTGCTCGTGGCCCTGTGATCATCTTCACTTCTGCCAAATTCAAAAGGCTGAGAATTAAACCAATGATTCCCTGCGGCAATTACTGCTCCAACAATTAACTAGTAGGATAGTGTAAAGTATGTCCTTTAATTAGTTCCACATGCCAAACGTCATCTTTTAGGATTCTGCCACCCTTAGAGGAAGAAATAAGATTGCCTAGTGAGAATTATTATGAGAGCCACTTTGGTCTGTTGGTTAAGGTACCAGGCTAGAAAAAAAGTGGGAGAGTGTGAGGTAAAGTTCCATCTTAGCCGCAAAAGTCAGCCTGGTGACTTTGTGCCAGTCACTGTCTCTCAAGCCAATCCACCTCGCAGGGTTATTATTGTGGGGAAAATAGGAAGAGGAAGGTGTGTTGGATATGTTCACCACTTTGAGTTATTTGTACAATAACAAAGGAGGCAGGATACAAATAAACAAATATTGTGCTGTCATTCCCAATGTCTAAGAATCATAAAATGTCTATCTATTTGGGTTTCTTCCTACATTATGACTAGCTTATTAAAAACAAATCCAGGCCCGAGTTTTGTCAATGGGGAAATATCTCCGAAAGCTTCATGAAACAAGACTAATTCATCATAAGTGGGGACATAATACTTGGTTTTTGCTACTTGTCATAGGGAAACATCTGGGAAGTAGTGTGCCTCTCTGAATTTTTACTTCAGTGCTTCTGTTGGAACCATGTCTTGCACAACACCTGAAAATGCAACAAGGAATGTTTGACAGAAATCTACAAGTGTGCTAATATAGGCACTCTCATTCTTAAAGGGAATTTGGTTTTCAGTATAGAATATCAGAATTTCTGTCTATTTTGTGTGTAGAGGTTGTTGGATGTCATCTCTTCAAACTGGTTAATGATAAGCTTCATTCTTACACAAACAGGAAATATTGTACCAACCAAGAATTTGCTTCTCATTTTAGAAGCTAGCCAGGTTGATGCATCTACTTCTGGAGACTGAACAAAGCCAAACAAAACAAGAGCAATTTACCACAAGTATCTACAATACCTGCTATAGTGTTCTGACCCAGGGTTTGTCAAACCTAATAAAACACAAACTGAATTTAAAGTAAAACTTTTTAATGCGATGCTGGGAATTGCTTGCATTCCTAACCAAAACTCATTATACACAGTTCTTCCAGATAAGAGCATGCTTTTCAGTACTGTCAAATGCTGCCAAGAAACAGAAGTCCAATTAAGGCTAACATAAACCAACCCAGAAACCTAGAAAAAAAACTAACCAGAGCTTCACGAAGGACTCAGAGATTACTGAACTGTTCGTCATTGAGGTCTGACTTTTATCCCCTATGGGAGGGGCAGTCACCTCCCAGCCTTACTCCCGAATCGCCCCTTCTGCTTCAGCTGCTGTCGCCTTCTAGCAGCTCTGTGCAGACACATACTGGGAACAGGCTCCTCGGGGTCCTCTGCTTCACTGCTGCCAGACTCCAAAGGCTCCAAAGGCAGCACCCCACTCCCAGATGGTCCTGGCCCTATCCCTGCATCGGATGCAGGATCCTCGTCCACATCCTCGCCAGACTCCCTGACTGGTTCCCTTTCATCCTCACTGTCCAATACCTCTGCTGTCCGCACTGCCTGCCGGCAAACCACAACACATAGTTCATGTTAACTTGTCAACCTGAAGCAGCAACAAATTAGCATAAGCATGCTAGATATCATAAGAAGAGGTCTCCTATACCATGAAAGAGAGTCAGGAAGAATAAAATAGCTAGTGATGTTGAGCTCCCCTCTTGCAAAATTTACTTTCTCCAGACAAATGGCAATAGAAGTTGAACATTTATCAATAAAGAAAAAACAGAAACATTATGCCTAACTACATTTGAACTCCAGGAGCTGATGCCTCTCAGCTTTATTCAAAAGTCATGCAATTGAAAAATAATCCTCAGCTTGAGTGTATTACTTGGAAGGCCAGTTCCAGCAGGCCATCATTATGTAGAGAAAGTCAAGGACTATGGAGTTCATGAAAGACAGAACGGTTGAGTCCAGAAATAGGGAAAGTAATTAAGGTGGTAGATGGATCTATAGACAAACTTTTATCTGTAAAATTTTCAGTTTATTGATTCATTAGACTTATTTGCCACCCATCTCATCTCGAGGCATCTCTGGCAGCTTACAAACATTAAAAGCCATAAAACGTTGCAGCAATAAATACTCACAATAACACTAATAAATTACATTTGAACAGATGGGAGGAAGGTAGCAAGACACATTTTGCTTTTCATGATTTGAGAATGCAGGCAGTTAATTGTTCATCAGTAATTTTTCCTCTACAATTAACTGTCAATGTACCAAATTAATAAAATTCCTTCAATACATGACAAAGCAAACAACTTTTGGAAGAGGCAGTCAAAGGCATCTGTTTGCTACATTCGCCATCTTCAATCACAATCACATCATACACTATGAAAACCAGGCAAATCCACTTTAGTATCTCAGAATGAGAAATATTGGTTTTTATTTCAGAAAATGGTACTCTTGCTGCCATCTAGTGATGGAGCATAAAAGATAATCAGATTGGTTTTTTTATTGCTTCTGCCCATTTATGTACTCTGATCTGAGTTTAAGTCAAGAACCTTCCTTGAATTTTTTTTTTCTGGAGATGACCAAGTTGGTAAATCCTACATGCCATTACTAACTAGCACATGATCATCAAAACCATATAAAATTTCGCATAATTTCATTCAAACCATACAAGAATCTCACACAATTTCCACATCTGTTTATATTGGTCAGATGCCTCTTCTATTCTTTTAAGTAGGTCTAACAAATCTGGGCTTTTAGAATCCAGAGAGCCCCTTGATGAGAGCAAAGACATATAGAAAATAACTTTGTGTCAGAATTGTTGTAACCTAGCTGTTAGCCTTAAATATAGACACTAGAAGGAATGACTTACTATTGGAGTAAAGGCAGCAAAACCACTGCAAATTGCCATTGAATGAACATTAGCTTGCCTTTTCTACCAGGTAAAGCAGGTGCCCACAATACTAGGAATAGTATTCAGTTTAAGTGCCTGCTGCTTTATTAATATATAACCACCAACGTAAGCTTCTTACCCAAGGGACAGGACTGGTTCAACAAACACATCTGTAATCAGCCTTGTCGCTGAATAATCAATTTTCCTGTTGTGTTTTTTTTTAACAAAATTTTTATTTTTTACAACAAACATACAAACAAAACATAAACACATAAAACCCTCTTTCAATTATATACATACAGTGTGTCAGTTGGTTACAATCTTTTGTGCTATCCCTTTTTTTAACCATTACTCACAAGTTATATAAATTCTCACCTTATCAATCTAGCTTGTGCTTATATAACATCAATTATTAAACATTCATTTGACTAAACTATTTTTCCATCATTTTATATGAAATATTCTAAATTTCATTATGATTTAATCTTATACATTCATTCGATGGTTATATATTTTATATTGTATTCTATATCAATCTATTAACTCAATTTTCCTGTTGTGTTTGAGGAAAGACTGAAGAAGGACCTCTCTTAGAATTGTACATTTAAACCTAACATGCCCAATAGCTCTGCTGAACACACCACTGCTTTAGATGAAGCAAGATTTCCAGATCAGTATCTTGCTCCTGCAGGTACCTTCACAGATTTGACTGAAGAGCTGAACTAAGAACTGGCGCCCTGCTTCAAGGAATTTGCGGGGGGGCAGGGGGGGATTCTACCAGTTCTGTCCGTCTTTATTTATTTATTTGTGAGGACATAGATAAACCTCCAAGTACTTCAATGACTCTCTAAAAGGATGCAAATGACCAGCTGTCTAAGGAATATAAATCCTTCCATTTCCCACTATCCTGCCAGAGCTGAAGGAGCTTCTTGGATGAGAAGTGAAATGTCTTCAAAGAAAAAAACAAGAAAGTCCAGTTGCCTCCTGAAAAAGTACCTTTGGGACAGCCATGACCTGGATGACTCAGCATCTCTATAGACATTGAAATAACCTATTTTTTTTATTTGGTAGCAGATATGTGTAAAGCTCTGAACTGCGAGAGATTTTAAGAGTACCACCCATTGTAGCAGAATTCCTAGTCATCTAGAAAAAATTTTTAGGTTTATGAGCAGTGTTAAATTATAGTTGAAATTAAAGTATGGATTAATCTGCTGTTTAGGCTTAATCCCTGGATACCAGATGAGAGTAAAATGCTCTTGTTGCTAGAGTTTGGAAGGACTGCCCTAGAGAGATAGTCTTATCTATATAAACCAAATCAAAAATCTATATGATGGTTTTTGTTCAGCTCATTTTATTTATAAAAAAGGTGATTCACAGTACACCCCATCTCCATGAAAGGTTTGCTCCCATAAGCTACAAACTTAAAAGAATAAAAAAATTTAAAAACTTTTTCCTGCTTCACCTTACTAATGTAAACAGATGGCAGCATCCTACCAAGGATTAATTCTGTACTGCTCCTAAAAAAAAGTTGTGAAAGGCTAGGTAGCCAAGAAAAAGAATAGCTGTGTGAGCTATGCTTACTTCACTAGGACAGGATCTACTTGGGAGGCAGGACAGGGCCAGAGTAACAGAAAACCACAATGCCTCTAAAGAAGGGATAAGCCTACCATTTCCAAACCTATTATGAAAGCAAAACCAAGTTCTTTAAGAACATAATAGATGAAAATAAAAAGAAGTATGCAAGACCACAGCAACTTTTATGTAGGAACTCTGTCTTGGTTTGTTTGCTTTCTCTTAGTAGAGCAAACTGGCAGAATCATCCACTACCTTATTTAGCCTAGACCACCTCAGTGCTGACTATAATAACCCTTTATCCTTCTCTTCAAATGGCGGAAGCCATTTCTGGTCAGAGCCCGGGCTGGCTGCAGACAGACTGAGCCCCAAACCACCAACCGAGGAAGCTGGGAGGCCTCAGCATCTTTCCAGAGCCTTCCTTGCAGAGCAAAGTCGGCTACAGGAATGAAGGAATTATTCAAATGATTATCCTATCAAAGCAGTAAGAGCTCTTTCTCAGCCTGCGGTAATACCAATTGTTCTTTTCAGAGGGCATATCCATGCCACAGGCTTCAAGGAGGAATTTGAAGCATGGTTACTCTCTGGGGAGGTCTGCCTTGGCATCTCACATGGCCTTTCCATCCCCTTGCCAAACAGCTGGAATGGGCTCGGCTGCCTCCAGCGACACAATGGCGTCCTTTGAAACAGAGACAATTTTATGGTCAACTTAAGCAAATGATCCATCTGGAGCCAGACTGTCCCACGGCTCTCAGCTTTCAAGCCAGTGAGTTCCTGGCCATAGGGAAGGAGGAGATGAGGAGGGAAATAAACACAGTAGGGAGTTTGTATGTGTGTGTACTGTGAG